CGAGCACAGAGTCCACCTGATAGTAAGTGGTTGCTGCGGCTCATAGACATCTACATCTATCTTCGATTACAAATGAAAATACAGGTGCGTTGTCACCATTCAGGACTAAGATGGAATGCCTCGTTTCCAGTAAAAAGGGTCTCCGGTTCTCTACACTCACCATACGAAATACAGCAGCATTAAGCTACTATTTCACGCTGGTATTCTGTGAGAGCGTGGTCCTTCCCCCGGACGAGCCGACCCATTCGTGCTACAACTATACTACTAATATAACTGCAGCATGGCTCTACTTACTGCGTAAAAGTCATTTTGTCTGCATTTTGATCTGCATTTTGATTCGTAATCGAGGATAGGTGTAGATGTCTATGGGCCACAGCAACCACTTATCATCAGGTTGACTGTGTGCTCGTTTGTCACCCTATCCTATAAAAAAATCATACACCGATACGTATAATGCAGAGGCTTATTTTATTTATATACGATTTTGTTAGCTATTCCCTTGTAACTAGGTAAGTACTAAGTAATTCGAATTATCTAAATGGCTAAGTTGCTTGAATCATACTGAATCTGGGTAGGCAGGTAATGTTCTTTATAATTAACTACAGACATACATGACACTAAAATGCTATAAAAATCATTATTTACAATGATATTATTTACCTCGAATTGTTCGCCTCCGTCATTCTAGGAACGTTTTTTAATCAAATTGCTCTTTTCTTTTCTCCTATATTTTTTTCTTAGTATTTCCCATTACCACGAACAAATTATTTAAGTACCTACTCATAATAATTTCCTATTATAATAACAAACCTGTTCTACAACTACAGCTATTTATAATAATAAAGATATAGCTTTAAGAATAGAGAGTACAAGCGAACGACTTGCGTAGGTCCTCCGTTGTAGCGGCCTCTCGCTGGACTGGCCCGCGTAAGTATATAATTTCTATAAAACTTTAAAACGCCGTCATAAAGTCTAAAATTGCGTAGCGTCCGCGACGATTAACACACTTAGAAATTGTCAGAATCTTAAAATATTTTATAAAAATTAATGAATTAAGTAATCATAATAATGCGCAACTAAATTATAAATATTGACGTTACGAATACATTTGAATGATTCCCAAGCATATAGATTAAGTAATTTTGTTGTAATTTCAACTATAGTGATTTTTAGAGGTGTTTTCGCAAATAATTATGATGGAGTCAAAATTATACAATCGTGTTTTTGAGCAAGAAAATTCAAGATAAAGACATGAATTTACTTACATCAAAATTTCAGTTTCGTTAGTAGTGTTATAAACCCATACTATTCGATGAAAGGAGGTGCATTTTATCAAGGTGTCGCCTTAATGTCACAGACAGTGAACTAGAAACCATGAAATGGTTAGCGTGCTCGTTTCTCACTATTACCATATTAAAATGTTACTATATGACTAAAAATTAAAATATCTATCGATGTTGTATGTATAAAGTAGTTTAACTCAAAATCTATTTCATCGATTACCGTGAAAATGGTAAATTATGGATAAAGTAAATTATACCAATATATATATATATATATATATATATATATATATATATATATATATATATATATATATATTTCAATGGCGAAATAAAAACGTTGCTGAATACAACCTATTATATTAACTGGCAGGACAACGTCTGCCGGTTTCAGCTAGTATAATATAAATACACAACACAAGATTATCCAGTATGTAATACATACACATTTCGTATAAAACAATAATTGTCGATCAATAATTTATTAACTTTGTTAATTAAACAAAAAATTTAAAAAAGATAATAGGAACAATCAAATATATAGCCAAGTATAGGAGCTCCGAGAAATCTTTTTCTGAATGTTTTGTAGCTTAACTGAGTTAAAAATTCACTACATTGACCGATGAGCTTACAGTTTATTTTTGATTGTAAGTCCAGCAGTCCATGGATAACTGAAATCAAATACTTTCGAGAGAGTTCAACATTGCCTTACTCATATATACGACACAAAGGCTAAAATGAAATGCCTCCAGTGCTTTGACGAAGTATGTAGAATATTAAAGCCTCGAATTCCGAAGCTATCATGTCGATATTATTCTATTATTTTTAGTTTCTTGAAATGTGCTTTCACTGTTTATTAAAAGTATAACTTTTGACTCTTTTGAATAAACTAAAGAATATCAAAAGTACGAATAATATTTAGTAGTTAGATTGAAAATTCAAGTTTATATATTACGTAAAACTACAATGATAACGGGTAAAATACATACAGGGCAATTATAAATATAGAAAAGTTTTGCAATAACCGGCCAAATTTGCACAGAAGTTTCAAAATAAGTAATATAGACAAATGGTGAAGAAAAGAATTAAAGAAAATATCAAATATTATGTATTTTATCTTTGACATTCTAAATGCGTGGCATTGTATTATTTTAACTAATTTTATGGCACACGCACATATTTGTAAAGGTCGATCGGTAGGCAAAACCGTTGTTGCCCGAAAATCACATTTAACTAGGGGTAAATTCAAATAAAAGTAGAAGCCTTATATTTTTTTTCGTATTTTACAAAACGGTACGAGTATATCATTGTTTACATATTTGAACTTAAGTTTAAAATTTGGCTACTCTTTGAAAAATGGCCCTGTATTGACAAAGACATTAATAAAATAATAAAGCATAATTGTTTTTATTTATTTTAATGTGTTTTTCTACACATTACACAGCACGCAGTTTTATAATAAAATCGGATTATTGATCAAAAACCTTGGATTTTGATAAAGAACCGAAAGAAAACAAAATTATTACTTAATATTATCACTAACATAGAAAAATCCTGTTTTTTGACCAAAAATCCTTGTTTAGGTTTATGATAAAATTTAAGCTTACTTTTAAATAATGTTTTTTATTTATTTAAATAAACACAAGCGACATTGATTTTAATATAAAATTAAGTGAATCTAGGTTTTAGACCAAAAACTGGATTTTCTCAGGTTATGGTAACATAAAGTAGAAATTTTTTCTTCTTTCGGTTTTTGATCGAAAACCAGGTTTTTTCAAAACCTGTGACATACTATATTCGTTAAGTTTGGCTTGGTTGGCAACTACAAACTAAGAAAATACTAAACTATTGAACAATATAAACTATTTAACTTTTACGTTTCTTCTTAAACCGTTGCATTTTTCCATACTAAGAAGTATTTTCAAATTAATGCTTAAGTTTACTTTAAATAACTATTAGGTATACTACATTAAGTATTCACTGTATTAATGTATTCTAAAACATTCCAACTATATGGTGCGACGACTTGGTAAGACATGAAAGTCAATAAAATACTTGGCCCTCGAAAGTCAATGGGTAGAGGTGCTCGTGTTTTGTAGCATTTCTTGGTGAAGCCTATGTAGAGCAGCATACTTGTAAAATGACGCCGATAAAAGGATATAGTTTTTAGAGTATTATTATTATGAGGGAAACAATAAACCACGTATTTAAGGTAGTTAATACATGGTTGTGGGCTTACTCTAAAATTAAGTAAGGAGATAGCAATAAGCTGTGTGACTTTATAGCGTCTTTGCGGTTTGTTATTGTCCACAGAAACTGTTACAAATATAGTACGTATTGTATTGCTGATATGGGTAACAAAACAAAAGGGTTTAAAAACCGAAGTTTTACAAACACCCCCCCGCCAATCCAGCACCAGAGGAACCCCCGGGCTGGTAAGGGGTTTTTCTATATAGTAAAATTAATTTTATAATTGGATACTTGAAATCAGTGTCACATTCCAAACTAAGAAACCATAAATTGTGTTGTTGTTGCCATGCAAAACATGTTTTTGAGTAAACATTGTCTTTGTCTAAAACTTGAACCCAACAGAGTGGCAACTTTACTAATCTGACCTAATTAAATAATTTTATATGTGCTAGAGCCACTACTGCCGCGTTGTGAATACAATGGTGGCAGCAAAGAAAACCAGCGTGAAATAGTACCATGATACTGATGTGTTTTGTACGGTTAATGATGATAAGCGCATCTATTTTAAGGTAACGAGGCATTTCATCATTTTTCTCCAGGTATCGCAATGCATCTGAATTATGATTCGTAATCGATCAAAGATGTGATATTTATATCATGCCCTTACCATCAGCTGAAATATGTGCTGACCGTGTATTAGGAGTGTTAAAATATCCCTACCCCGTATCGTCCAGTGGGTATTGTAGGAGGTGATGGAAGGCCACAAACCGAGAGATGAGTGGCAGGGTCTTCTTAATAAAATATAAATAAATAAGAAATGCAGTTGAAAATCCACCTGTCAGGCGTGGTAACTGTGACAAATCCTTCATATTAATCTTCTTCATTAATGATGTAATCCAGTGTGGAAACCTGTATTCATCAGTAAAGTTTGATAGGCTAGAATTATAATAATGAACTAAAACTCGACCTGAATACTGAAAACATATTGCTGTAGCAAAAAGGGTTTATTATAGAAAATGTATTCTTGAGGCACTGAATTTTTGAGTGGTCATTAACAAACTCCGTTTCCTGGTTGTATTATATGGGTATATTTTTGTAAACCAAACTGATAATGACTTTATTGGCTAAATGTTCTTTAGGCGGCTTTAAAAAAGAAACCCATATAAAGTTTAAAATAATTATTAAAGTAAATCTTAAAACAGCATTCGGTGTACAAGCAGAATGAATACGTTATCTTATAACTCAAGGGCAGTCCGTAAATGTATATATTTGTTAAGACGTTCAAAAGAAGCATTATTGTTTTTGTGCATTAATGTGTTACCCTTATTTTAATATAAAATGATTTTAACACTATTAATTATTTTAGGAGCTCTTTGTATAATATATTTCTTACTAGGATTATATAATGAAAATTACTGGAGAAAACGTGGTGTGAAGTTTCATACGAAAAGTAAAGTTTTCGGTCCTATTGGAACATTTTTAACTTCAAAACAGGCGGTATTTAAAATATTTGAAGATATTTACAAAATGTATCCGGATGAACCAGCAATTGGAATCGGTTCAATGTTTACTCCAGCTCTGTATGTGAAAGATCAAACAAATGTGCAACATATCCTGCAGACTGATTTCAACTCGTTTAATCACAGAGGTATAGAAGTAAATGAATGTGATATACTAGCCAATAACATACTGTTCTTAAATGGGAATAAATGGAAATTACTGCGTCAAAGTATGAATCCCCTTTTTACATCATCAAAATTAAACAGTATGTACTACATAATAGATCGTAGTGCTCAAGATTTTGTTGAATTTTTAAATAAGCAACCAGAAAAATTAAAAGGTGATATGTTTACCATACTATGTACATTTAGTAGTGCTGCCGTTGGAGCTGCTGTATTTGGAATTGGAAATGAGTCAATTTTTGATTCACCCTACCATGCAATAGCTCAAAATGCTATGAAATCCTCGACATCGCAAAATATTAAGTTTGTGATGTTATATTTATGTCGACCTTTATACAAATTTATGGGAATAAATATATTTAAAGACCATGAAAAATTATTTATTGGTGCTGTAAAGCAAGTTATTCGCCAAAGAGAACAAGAAAACACAAAGAGCCACGATCGATCGAGACTCGAACGACACGATTTTGTTGATTTATGCATAAATATACAAAATAATGGTGTCTTAAAAGACCCTGACAATGGATTGGAAATATATCCAACAGATGAAGTTTTGGCAGCGCAAGCGTTCTTTTTCTTCATCGCTGGTGTTCAACCTAGTGCGTTCGCTATGTTTTCAACATTGGTAGAATTAGGGCGTAATTCTTACGATCTAAAACGTGTCCATGACGAAATTGATAAAACATTTGAGAAACACAACACCATAACTGTTGACACCCTTCAAGAAATGAAATATCTGGATATGTCTTTAAATGAAGCGATGAGAATTCATCCCGCAGTTGGATACTTAACTAGAGAATGTGTTCGTGATACCGTATTACCAGTTGGAAATATCAAAGTTAATAAAGGTACAAAAATATTTTCACCTATTTACGAATATCACCATGATCCTAACATATTTCCAAATCCCAAAGTTTTTAAGCCGGAGAGATTTTCCCGTGAAAATCGGAGTACATTACCAAACAATGTTTTTATGCCATTCGGTAAAGGTAACAGACTTTGTATTGGCAATAGATATGCCACTTTGCAAGTGAAGTCTGGACTAGTTCACTTACTACGTCGTTTCTCGGTAAAAACATACATGGACGGAGATGAAATTAAGTACAGCAAGCACCATACAAATGTGGTCCCATCTAATATAAATTTTGAATTTATTCCTAGAAATATGAAAAGCACTGTATAGTCGGATAGTTATTACAAAATTATTTCGAGAAATAAATACGAAACTCTTTTTTCATTTAATGTTGTCATATTGTGTGGATATGTTTCTTAAGTAATAGGTGGGATTTTAAACAATATAATAAATATTATTTTAGGAAGAAATAAACCAAAGTTTTTCATAAAATTTTTAAATCTCATTTGCTCAAACACGGTTTTATCTATATTAAACAACATGTTTAATTTTGAACTTTTATTTATTTATAGTTTCTAAAATAATAATTTTAAAATGTTAAATAATGTGAAAGGAAAAGATTTAATAAATACAAACAGTCAACAAAATTTTTTTATTTAATTTTTTTAATCTTTATAATAAAATTGAATCTTTGTTATTGACAAATTGTTTTATTGAACACATATTGAATTAATACATATATATATATATATATATATATATATATATATATATATATATATATATATATATATATACGTAGGCGGTCCCATTATGAATTGGCCTAACTATGAACCAATGAAGGAAATGAAACGAAACCAATATTATTTTTCAATATAATCATCATGAATACTAACACACTTCTTACATCTGTGAATCAACATCTCTAAACCTTTATAAAAATAATCACATTTTTTATCCTCAAAATGACTGAAGACGGCCGCCTGCAACTCTTCATCGCTTGAAAATTTTCTTCCTCTTAAGTCCCGCTTTAAATTTGAAAATAAATAATAGTTGGACGGGGCCATGTCTGGACTGTAAGGTGGATGTTGAACTTCTGTGAACTTCGAAACACCAGCGGTATGAACAGGGGCGTTGTCATGGAGCAACAGGACACCTTTAGACAGCTTGCCTCTTCGTTTTTCCTTTATCTTGTCTCGTAATTTATATATTAAAGAAGCAAAATATTCGCCGTTCACGACTGTATTACGTTCTTTAAAATCCACCATCAAAATGCCTTGAAAATCCCAAAATATTGTGCACATCAGTTTTTTAGTCGGTTGTTGCACCTTTGCCTTTCTAAGGGGCTTTTCACCCTTATAACGCCATTCCATTGACTCGCGCTTGCTTTGTGGATCATGATACAAGATCATAGTTTCATCACCAGTCACTAGCCGCTCGATCACAGTCTTTGGATTTTCGCCACAAAGATCCAAAAACTCCGAAGCGCAGCGCACTCTTTCCTGTCTCTGTACCGCTGAAAGAAGTTTCGGTACCCATCTTTCACTCACTTTTTTCATGTGAAGATGTTCATGGATCGCGCGATGAATGGTACACTTAGAGTGCCCAAGCCTTGCTGCAATTTCTCTAATCTTCCAACGACGGTCACTCAGAACCTCCTCTTCGATAAGATCAATCGTTTCGGGAGTGAGCACTTCCACAGGTCGACCGTCGTGGCCAAAGTCTTCGACGGTTTCTCTCCCGAGGCGAAACTCTTTCACCCAATTTTTCACTGTGCTATAGGAGGGAGCAGACTCCTTATACACGCCATCTAATCGTTCTTTTATTTGGGCAGGGGATAAACCTTCTTTAAACAGAAACTTTATGACACTTCGATACTCAGTTTTCGACATTTTGAAAAAATACGCGACTCTCGTTATTCAAATGCCTGTTAAACTAAGACTAAGCATTTCATGTCGATGCATGTTTCTTATATTAAGTGCACGATAAACGTACTATTTAATGCAACACAACATGTAGCGACATGTCGCGTTGAACTATATCAGGCCAGTTCATTATGGGACCGCCTGGTATATATATATATATATATATATATATATATATATATATATATATATATATATATTTGTGCGCGGTGTGTGTGTGTGTGTGTGTGTGTGTGTGTGTGTATGGCTAAACAGCGATCTCTTCCAACAGGATAAGCAATATATATAGAAAATGAGGTAATGCAATATTGTAATAGTACTGATATTTTTATACTTTTATGGAGTAATTTCATCATGAAACCGATCAAGTGTGTTGATGGCTTATACACCGAGGGTGCTGGTACCTTGTAGTAGACTTGTACGGAGTGAGCATGAAATAGTATAGATAATTCTTGTTTTATTCTTATTAAAAGAAGTTTTTATTCTCCCTTTTATTTTGATCCACTATTGCATGTCACGTTGTTTATTTTCATTGAAAAGTTTTTAATGTCTTGCTTTTCAGCGAATACATGGAGTAAAACTTTTTTCATCAACATCGGCCATGGTATCTCAAGGTGTAAGTGCCCGAAATAAATTTCAAAGTACGCGAGCAACTCCGGTTCGATCCTGAAGGAAGCAATAAAATTGTTAATTGCAATTTTATTTGTGCTAAAGGGAAAAAACATCGCGAACAACAATCTTCTGCATATTTGAGAAATTAAAAAAAAATAATGTGGTCGTTTTTAAAAATATCTTTGCCCTGAGGTCAATACATTTGTCTACTACGTGATTTTAGGAAACAACGAATTTGAATCTTGTACCATTGTAAAGATTTAGAGGATATTTATTAAAATTTAACAGTGAGACCTGAAGGTGGTAGTAAATAAACATTAAGGCGCTTGTTTGAACAAAATGCCACGCTAGTCGTTATTTGTACGGTTTTTAAGTGATGTCCACTTGTTATTAAGAATATATATATATATCAACTAATAAAAATGTAATAAATTTCAACATAACCTGGATTCCATAATAAACAATTCCAATTTTTTTAAAGGAGTTAAAGTTTGATTAATCTCCCTATAACCAAACCACAGAAATGTGAAATAATTATTGATAACGTTCCTCGTGTCTCCTCGTAAAGTAAGCATTATTTTATTTTGCTATTGACACTATTATATAGGAAATTTATTAATAAACATTTTGCTCAAATCATTTTTTTAAAATTACTAAAATTTGATTGGGAAATTTGATTGGAGTAGGATCTTTCCTTGAAAGTCCCTAAGTCGTATCGGTCTTGAAAAATATTTTGAGGTAGTCGATTCCACAATAAAGTTGTCCGAGGAAGAAAACTTCTTTTAAATCGCACAGTCATCCAGATAGTATGGATGGTATCGTGAATCGTTTCGCGATGGGTGATGGTGAAATTATGCTCCTGAAATTGGTCAGAACAATTCCTCAGAGCACACCCGTGGTAAATGCGATACAATACGCAAAGGGATACAACATCTCTTCGCAGTGTATCAACGCCGAAAATTCCTATACTGGCTAAGCTAACAAAGGAGGTGACTTGGAACTAAGGAGATACGACAAAGGGGTTCTTTTTAGCGGTAAACGTGCACATTTTTGTCTTTTGGGGATTAAATTGGACTGGATTTAGTTGCCCCCAGTCTGAGACTTTGTTCAACAAAGTCTTGACTTCAGACAAAAGCTTGTCCCATTACTCGGCGAGATTTTCCCGAAAAATATTGGCAACGATGGTTAGGCTTGCAGATCGGAGCATCAAGGTTGTAGAAGAAGGTGCATTCTCCGATTACAAGCCCATTTACGCTGGTGTTTCATAAGGCTGCGTGCTATCACCAACGCTGTTTCTTCTGCATATGAAAGACATGTTGCAAACCAGTAAAATTCATTACTATGCAGATGACAGCACTGGCGGTACTCTATACACCGGCCGTGCCAATATTTCTAGAGAAAACGTCGCCGAGTTCCGGGATAAACTTGTCTCTGAAGTCGAGACTTTGTTATACAAAGTCTCGAAATGGGGGCGACAAAATTTGGTCTAGTTTAATCCACAAAAGTCATTATTTTGCACGTTTACCGCTAAAAAGAACCCCTGCGTCGTATCTCCTCAGTTTCAAGGCACTCCCCTTGTTGCCTTAGCCAGTATCGGAATCCTCGGCGTCGACATATCAAGGGACGTGCACTTTCGTGGTTACTTGGAAGAGAAGGCCAAATTGACCTCTAAAAAGCTTGACCTGCTCAGCAGAGCAGTACCATATTTCAAGCTGGCTCAACGCCTGGAACTTTACAAGGTACAGGTTCAGCCGCACATTGAATTCTGTTTCCATTTCTGGGCGGGGGCTTCCCAATGCCAGCTCCATCCATTTGATCGCATCCAGCGCAGAGCAGTTCGAATCGTCGACGACAGAGCTCTTTCCGATCGGCTTGACTCACTGGCACTGCGAAGAGATGTTGCATTTGTTTGCGTATTTTATCGCACCTACCACGGGGAGTGCTCTGAGGAATTGTTCGGACTATTTAAAGCTGCACAATTTCACCATGGCACATCGCGACAAAACTCACGATACCATCCATACCATCTGGACGACTGGCGGTCCACCACCGTGTGATTCAAAGGAAGTTTTCTTCCTCGCACAAATTTATTGTGGAATCAACTACCACCAGAGATTTTTCCGTAACGATGCGATATAAGAACTTTCAAAAAAGAGCCTACTCCTTCTTAAAAGACCGGCAACGTATCTGCAATTCCTTCAGTGTTGCAGTTATTCATGGGCGGCTGTATGCTCGTTTGCCCCCTCTCCTATAAATAATAACATATTCTGAACGATGCGTATCAAAATACGTACGCAATTTTATAACCCTGACCTACGATTAAAGGTTTTCACAATTGTGAATGTAAAGTATTTCACGAATAGGCTTTTTTTTTTATTCAAAATAATTGTAATAATCACTTCGACCAATTTTTACTAGCATTATAAGGCAAAAGCGTCTGTGTCAGTCAGCTTGAGATAGTCATGGAAACAAGTTACAACTCTAGCAAACTTATTTTATCTTTCGAGCACATGTATATGAGATACAAAATTATTTTATTTAGTTAGTAAATATTCATTAGTCGCGTTTTCGCCCACTTGACCAACAAGCCAGTCTAAAAGTCGGGTTCAAATCCCGGATCTGGTCAAAATCACTTGTTGTGTTTTTCTAACAAGTAGCAGCCCGGCGTCAGCTTTCACACCCATACCGCGGAAATTACGTAAAACCGTTGGTCGTGCCCCTGATCTTTCTATGGTCGTGTCATTTTACCGGCCCATTTGACTATGAGAGTGAGGGAATAAAGAGTGCATCTAT